GCCATGAGGACTTCCCCATCCGTTTTGCTCTGCGCAAAGGACAAACCATTGACCTTCGGCTCTGTTGGATGTATATAACATACCTGACCCGGCATCCCGAGTCAGCAATATGTTAGGATTGTGCGCTTTGCAAAGAGCGTATTTAGGATTTTTCACTCACACTGTTTTCATGATAGGTTATGATGGATAGTGAGTACTTTTTCCTTTTTGCTTAGGGGAAGTGTTATCACTATTACACCCACCTTATCGTAGATTGCAACACAACTGTTTTTTATGTATAAAATATCTGCATCAAAGGATGTCGGATCCATTAAACGCATTGACTTCATGAATTCAATGTATTCAAGCATTCCACACGCAACCTTCTTAGGAGCATAACCCAAAGATCTTAGGAATTTCTTATCCGAAAACAGGTGTTATGGGTGGCTTTTGGTAAAAAAACCATGTGAATATGAACTATCCGTAGTACGAATGGTCTTTCGGTAAATTCCAGTAAGGTGCCTATTCCGTGTCCTAAGGCTAACCCTAACACCAAACCTAGTTCAAACCTTAATCCTAACCCTAACCTTGATCAGAACCTTAACTTAAGCCTTATGCCTAGTCTCTCTGAAATTTAGCGCATACCCGCCTGTATTCCGGGGAGTCCCTATTCTCGCGTCCTTCTCTGTTAGTCTCTACAACCGAGGCCGATGTAAAGTGGATTCGTATTGTCTATAAGTAGTGTGTTGGTTTATGTTAGAGAGAACATTTGCCGGCAAGTTATATCCCGGTCAGACGCTGATCCTCCGAGCCTTGAAGTTGAGTCATTTGATCCACAGGAAACGCCTTCTCCACTACCGCGATCAATAGGCTGATGACAGGCTAACTGCTAGAAATAATGAATCGAGTGTGACTGCTACTACAGCAAGAGTCTCGACTGTCGCCGACACCTGGAAGAAGTAAAAGGCAAGAGGTGAAGAAAAGCCCGCTACCGACTTAATGGCTGCTTGTGGAACTGACACCTACACCTGATTAGGAGCGTATCAGGTAACGGTTAACAGACGTTCACTTCAGCAAAAATAAATAGAAAGAAAGTTAGAAAACGCCTAAAGACGAAATAACTGTCACTAGGACTAAAAGCTATAGCAAAATGGTTACAACAGGTGCACGTCCTATCGACAA